TGCCTTTTTCCAGCCTCACTCTGCCCTGCCGCTTTCTGCAGGCCCTTTTGCCCAGGAGTAAATCCTTCCCTCCCCACCCCGTCCGCTCCATTTCCAAGCAGGAAACTTCCTCCGTTTCCATTGTCTGCGTCTCCAAAGGGTCTTTGTGGAGCACATCCAGCCCATCGGGCCCAGTTGGCAGGAACTCCAGATAATGTCGTGTCATCTCCACCATGAGCTGGGACGCGGGACCCAAGGAATGGGGCTTGAGCCCGATTTTGGTTGGTAGGGAGTAGCTGACCGTGTGCAAATGCCAGGGGTTTCCCACTGCTAAGAGCAACGGGCCAGACTGTGCCATCCTGACTCTGCTGGCAGTACTGTGGATTTCCAGGCAACTGTGTGAGGGCTAAGACAGTACTCAGGCTACACGCGGCCCGCGTTGCAGGGACACCAGCCAGGGTGTAATTCTGTGGACTAGCATTATTCATTTGTGCAGCAAGCCCTGGTTACAGCTGGGATTAGGAAGGACCCCTCCTGCCCGGATACACTATGGCCCAGTGCAGGTGCTGTAGCTGCAGAACACAAGGCCAGTAGTGCAGACGGGGATGTGCTGAGGGTCAGGGCCTGGGAGACTCATGCTCTTGGACAGCGACCTGCGGAACGCGACAGCCACGCGGCATGTGCTGAGTAGCCCGTGCCCGGGCATATTTGCTGTGATTAGGTGCCATGGGGATGGTCTCTCAACGGAGCCAAGGCCTAGCACTGCCTTGTGTGGGGGCACAGAGGGGGAGGGGTACGGTGTGCTGACCCCTGCAGGCGAAAGGGACACAGCTAAGGCTGACACCCCAAATGACGGTGCAGATTCCCCTCCAGAGACGGTTCTCTCTTCCCCTCTCTTACCTCCTTTCCCCAGGCTCACCAGAGTGTCATCCCCCGCCCCAGTTTTGTTAAAGAAAGAGAGTGTGTCGTAGGGTTGCCAGGTGTCCGGTATTTTTGCCTCCTGGCAGGGGAAAAAAAACAGAAAATACCGGACATTTTGGGTGCCCAGTATTTTCTGATTTTTTTTTACCGGACAGGAGGCGAAAATACCGGACTGTCCGGGTCAATACCGGACACCTGGCAACCCTAGGCTTGGGCCAGGCCTGTATGCAAGGGTAGAGGGGCCTCAGCCAGCCCCATGCAGTGTCCTGCTTTCCTTTGGGGAGAATCTGACCGTCCACCATAATGTCCCCCCGTGGGAAGTGACACTGGCATTCTGCCTTGGGCAGGCACAGGCGGGTTGGAGAGGGGAAGGAAGAGGTTCCCTGAGACCTCTGCTCCTCTCACGAGGACATCCCAACAGGCCCAGCCATAACTTAGCCTAACATTAAGCCTCTCAAATGAACAGCGTCTCAGCAGATGCACCCAGAGCCCGATCAAACATTCACTGACATCAACGGCACAACATCCATTGACTTCAGTTACTTGTGGGGCAGCCCTTAGACAAAGTGTGGTCACTTCCTGGAGTCTGCTCTTCCGGTGCTCTGTGATTTGCATCAGTGTGCTGGGGGCTTTCAGACAAGTAAGACAAGGTGTGGGTCTCCAAGGAATTACTCAGTTCCCTGTCCTTCAAAGGCTGATGCATGCACTCAGCTATGCACGCGGAATAGCCCCACCAAAGGCAAAAAGACTCCTCACTGTGCACAACTAAGCTTTTGCAGAATCAGGGCCTGTATAATCACCCAGATGTACAAATCATGTGCAGTGAAACATACAACTGAACACAGCTACCTCTTTGTGAACAGACTGCAAAATTCCTTGCGCTCTGAAATGATCTGTTCCATTCTTCAGTGTGTAATTCTTGGTCTTCAGACTGTTGGCGAATGGTTACAGTTTATGATGTGTCAGTTACATAAATCACACCTTTCTGTTTCTTGACTGGATTTTAAAGTGGCTTTCAGTGACCATTCAAGCTTAAAATTAGATTTTCACAAGCATTTGCTTTTGTAAATCAGTCCACAAACGTTCATGGAAAGCGAACACAATATGGTTATGAATATAGTCAAATCAGAATTCACTTATGAATTAAAAAAATATTTGGGTACAATTTTTCCCTTTGTTCATTCTGCTCTAATAAATACTATAAATATATTTTATTGAAGTCATTTATTATTCATATCAAGGTCACCGGCAATAGAAGAGAAAGACAGTTATCTTTCTAATATCATATGTTGTGAGCCGGGACCCCCAATAGTTTATACGTCATGTATTTTGAATGCCCTAATATATTCTGATTAAAAAATCTTCTCAAATCTAAGTTAAGATTGCTGTAGATTTCCTCATGACAATGCCAATAGTAAAAACTAGGGCTGTCAATTTATTGCAGTCAACTCAAGCAACTAAGGTAAAACAAATTAACTAGTTGCACTTAATTGCAGTTTTCATCACATTATCTCACAGTAATATAATATCAGTTTAAATGTATTAACTATTTTGTATGTTTTTCTACATTTTCTAATATATTGCTTTCAATGATTATCGGTGTAGCTATAGTGGTTTAACTACAGCAGAATCGTAAAACTTTCCCGTGTAGACTGGTCCTAAAAGGAAGGGTGGTCGTGTGGTCAGGGCAGTTCAGTTGTGTCTCAGCAGACCTGGAGTCTATTCCTAGCTCTGCCACAGACTCCTGCTGCGTGACCTTGGGTCAGTTCCTTCATTCCAGAGTGCCTCAGTTACCCACCTGCAAAGTGGGAGTAACAGCCCTGTGCTGCCTCTCGGGGTGCTGGGGACGGAGAGGAGCAGCGTAGGAATGGCTGTCTCGGTACCTACATAGTTCAGTTGTGTCTCAGCAGACCTGGAGTCTATTCCTAGCTCTGCCACAGACTCCTGCTGCGTGACCTTGGGTCAGTTCCTTCATTCCAGAGTGCCTCAGTTACCCACCTGCAAAGTGGGAGTAACAGCCCTGTGCTGCCTCTCGGGGTGCTGGGGACGGAGAGGAGCAGCGTAGGAATGGCTGTCTCGGTACCTACATCGGGGCCATGAACAGGCACGTAAAAGGCAGGAATGACAGCACCTGGTGGCATAAGAACATCTAGGCAGCAATACAGAACGAACTGCGCCCCAAAGTGGAGTCACAGCATGAGAGGCTGCCCACCTCACTCACACGAGTAACAGCCAGTGAATTACTTGCAGGAGTAAAGCAGCCAGTTCAGCCCAGGAGGTTGCTATAAGGTTGTTTCTGGTACAGGTGTAAGTCACTCGGCCCAGGCGTTTCCATGGCCCTGGTTTTCAGGAACCACACAGCCTTAGAACAGATGCAGTTTGGGGGAGGTTTCTTTGTATTTTAAAACAACCTTGGCATCTGCCAGAGTACGGGGACTTTGCTGTTCCCAGTCATGTCCTGTGACTGACCTCACTGACTGACTATCATAATGGGTAATAAACAGGGCTCGACAAATATGCTTATCTACTCGCCCGTGGTGAGTAGATTTCAGCCGGTCGCCCTGTTCACCAGCGGTCCGCGCATGCGCAGTGGGGGTCTCACGCAGCGCGGTGCGGGGCTGGCAAGTGATTTTTGCTGCGATCATCGAGCCCTGGTAATAAAGATCTACTGGAATTAGAAAAGGGCAAGCTGTGGAACTCCTTGCCAGAGGATGTTGTAAAAGCCAAGACTGTAACTGGGTTAAATAAAGAACCAGATAAGTTCATGTAGGATAGGTCCATCAATGGCTATTAGCCAAGATGGGTGGGAATGGTGTCCCTAGCTTCTGACTGGACCCTGGACTAGATGGACCTTTGATCTGACCCAGTCTGGCTGTTCTTATGCTCTTATGAGCCACCAGAATCGAGTGAGAATGTTGGAAAGGTGTGCAGATTCAAAAAGCACTTCGCTGCCCTGAATTCTTAACCTTCAACCACTGGCCTCGGAGTGAACTGGACAGAGAGAGCGAGAATGGACATAGCAGCCAGTCTGCCCAGAGTCTGCACAGAATGGAACAACAGAAAGCGCGTTCTGAGGATTTGGTAGAAGAGCTGTTGGCGAGAGCTGATTATTCTTATTGAACCACATGGCCCATTCCCTGGCACCCTGAGGGTATGTCTACACAGCAAAGTTATTTCAAAATAACTATCCTAGCATCTACACAGCCATTCCGTTATTTCAAAATTATATTGAAATAGCGGAAGGCTTATTTTGACTTTGGTAAACCTCATTCTACAAGGAATAACGCCAATTTCGAAATAGCTATTTTGAAATAAGTGCTGTGTAGACACTTATTTCGAAATAGGGAGCCTCCAGCCTTCCCAGGGTGTCCTGGTGGCCACTCTGGCTGGCCTCAACCAAGAACACTCCTCTTCCTCCTCCCCTCCCCAGAGCCCTTAAAGGGGTAGTCTCTGGCCACAGTGCCTGTGCCAGCTCCAAGCCTGCCAGTCCAGAGC